GTTTGTAATCTTTGTTTATATTTATAATATATATTTATTTAAATTTATATATGTGTAGTGTATCAACTATCTGGTATCCATAACACAAGCCTCGTAGTTTGCCGTGGAACTAGATGGTGATGTGTGTTAATGTCTCAACATATTTATATTTATTTATTATACCTTTCAAAATTATTAAAATAAATATTTTTTAGGAGAATATAGTTACGTTAAGCAGTTTTTGAGATATCTTTTGTTTTATGGTAACTTGAAAAATATACTACAAAATCTAAACTTAGATATTTTAGTATATATTTTAGATATTTTAGTATAGTTTGAAACAAATATTTATCCACGTCATTTTCTATGTATTTTTTTATTACTTGTTTAGTGCAATAAAGAATACATTTTGTTGGTACGACACCCTACCCTATTTCAGCTTGTTCAATTTTTAATGTAAAAATAACCATTTTGAAATAAAGATGTAATAATTTAAAAAAATCTTCGAAATAAATTAACGTAGGTACCTACGTTTCAAAATAGCTACTTTGTTTCAAAGAGGTTTCAATTGTTACTTTGATGACCTAGAGGAAAATGGGACCGAGACCTATTATAGGCGTCATAAATAATATCTAGCAAGTAATAAGTACCACTTATGGAATGAATATCACAAACAATATGTAGATAATTAGCTAAAAATTTTTATCATATTTTAGTTTAAATTACTGTATATTACAATAAGTTACCTACAGAAGTGTTTATTATTTTGTAACTACGCAAAAGTCATACGTTGCCTCTATAACTTATCAAAGTCGATGAAATTTTAAGCAAATACAGATAAGATAAGAATTAACACGCACTATGCGTATATCATCAAAATGGATTAAAATGACTTCAAAAAAAAAAGGTAGTAACGCTCTTTCTTAGACGAATTTAACTTCCATACACATTATTATTATAGGCAGTGATAGCCCAGTGGTAATGCGCTTGCTTGGGAAACCGAGTGAAGCGGGTTCAAATCCCGGGTCTCGCACTGATATTTACATGTGCGAATCATTTCTAATATGATTACCACTTGCCTTACGGTGAAGGAATAACATCGTGAGGAAACCTGCATGTCTGAGAGAACATAGCAAGTTTTCGAAAGACATGTGAAGTCCGCCAATCCGCACTTGGTCAGCGTGGTGGACTAAGGCCTGATCCCCCTCGTATTGAAGGGAGGCCAATCGTTTATGGACCTATCTACAGTATTGGTTCATATATACATATGTAAATGGCAGCCCTATCTAGGGATGGGGGATCTAGGGAGGCGCTAAAATTACAAAAAATACTCTCAAAATGTAGGTTTTATACAAACTTTCACCCCCTATTTTTCCTTTTATGGGATGAATTCCGAAACCCCCCCAACGTGCGTTCACCTTGTCGTGGTGGGGGGGCTCAGTAGTGCCCGGCAATCCAACCGGGCGCGAAGCTAAGAAACGCACAGGGAGGTTGCCCACTTCGGTGGGCGGTGGGAGGTGGCCCTCTTTGGGGGGCGGTGTACCATGCGGGTTGCTCCTGGTACTTCTCTGATAGCAGAGTGGACTGTGGGGCAACTTCATGGTTGTGGTGGTCTGCTTCGGCAGACCTGCCGTCGGGGCGTCGTAGTTGAATGCGCAAGCGATCCTGCGACGCCCCATTAAGACGGGGGATGGTTTTGTTGGGTTTAAGTGGGTAGTACTGGCTGTATTACGTCGGTGAGTCCCACACGTCGTGCGTAAATGCATTTCCCAACGTTAAAAAAAAAAAAAAAAATGGGATGAGTTCCGAAAAATGCTAATACACGTATTTATTTAATTGTATTTAAGGCTCTTAATACCAAGTTTCAAGTTATTCTGATCACAAATATTTTTTGGGTTGTACCTATTATAACGTGTTTTCCCGTGGGAATGAGATAACCTCCCGCAATAAAAAGTAGCCTATGTCATTCTCCAGCCTACCAACTACTTTCACACAAAAAATCACGCCAATCTGTTACTCCATTTCGACGTGAAAGAAGGACAAACAAAAAACAAACACACTTTCACATTTATAATATTAGTATGGACTTTTATCTATTTATAATGATAAGAGTTATGTCGATTATGTAAAAATAAGATATAGGATAAAGCTGTGTCTATACAGAGTATAAGGGGCTCGTTCGTGACGGAGTCTGGATGGGGGTTAGTGGGTCTAAGTCAAGGTACGAAATACCAATCATAAACTGATGGGTCTGGATTCTAGATCAAGCTAGTGCATAGACAACGCAGAATTAATACGAATCTAGTTTTATCAGGGTTGGGAATTCCATCTCAGATTAGAAATATAAAATAAAAATAGTAGAAATATAGTATAATATTGCTTCCTTTAAGATTTCAAAATAAATTTGCTATAATATATTCACATAGTTTTAGTTCTCTAGCGCTATATAAATATTACGCACAGCAATAATTAATATTTAATAACCACAAGCTGTCCATACAGTCATTTGAATTAACTTTTAAAGTTGGTTATGAGTTGCAAGCGCAGTGAGATAAATTACATAGATTTAAAGTGTACTTGTAGGTTCTAGACTGATGTCTCAAAGACCCGGGATTTTTTGTACATTTAGTTAAAACTCGACCCAAAGGCTCGGGACTCAGGACACTTTTTACTACGAATTTGAGTAAAACTGCACTTATTGCGTTTGCGGAAGAATTGCATTGCAGACTATTTGAAAACATCCCTCGTATCGAACCTTAATCGAATTGAACCTAGTACAAGTAGCTTGACTACTGCACACAAAGAACCCGACAAGTCGTTTCAAAGTCAAATGGAGCACACAATAAAAAATCGCCGAAAATGTACACGAAATTCTACAAAAAAAATCACGGGCAACAATTAAAAACTAGTTGCAGTTGTTAAAGCATTTGTAAGTTTGCTTTATAATTAAAAGATTTTACTGCCAAAAACTGAATTTGTGATTATAAGAATTAAGTATACAAAATGTTTAGACTTAATAACGATGTTAGAATTTGAAACATAAAATATGTATGTACAATAAATGTTGATTTTTATTAAAATTGTTTTATTTATTGGCACATCGCGCCAAAATTAATCTAATTTTATTGGTGGTCTCATGGTTCCGGGACATTGAGAATTTCGAGACTTCCCAAACCCTATTCAAGACTTCAGACTCAGGGTGCCTCTTTCGTGCTCAGCTCGGTTTGTGTACAACCGGCATAAGAGAACACGTGTAATTTAATGCTCTGATAAACTAGGCTTTATCTAAAATCTGTGTCATGATATTCATATTTTAATAAATAGATAAGAACATATAGATTATCATATTTTAATAAATAGATAAGAACTTAAAGTTGAAGCTTAAAAAATATTTATTGTAAATAGATAAATAATGATAAATGTATCGTAAATTACAAGATCATCAATGTGAATTGACTAAATACTAGCTTTTATAAACAAATTTATATCTAGACATGTTTTTTTAATATTATTTAAGAATTTAATTTTACTTCGCGGATTTTTTTTTTATTTTTTGTTCCCGAAGTTTCGAATATTGCTTTACAGCAATCATGGTCAGAACTAAACACTAAATAAATATTATTAATTAATTCAGTATTTTAGAAAATTGTAATGCTTATTTATAATAATAACACCTAAAATTAAATAAATAATATTACTGTATTTAATTATAATTTATAATACTTATTAACATATTTTTTTATGTTTAGAATTAAAATCAACAAATATTGTAACGTACGCTGGTGCCATTTTTGATATCATTTTTGTAAAATTGTGGGTAGGCACTTAACTGTCTGTAAGAAGTATATCGCCCTTGAGATGTCTTAAACTTAACTCTCTCCCGTGGCAAAATAAATCCGCGAAAAAATCCGAAAATATAGTTTTATAAATTAAAATGTCAAATATTTACGTACATCTAAAAAAGTATTAAATGTAAGATTTTCTTATGGGTGAAATAAACGCTACTTTTTAATGTAAAATACTATAAAGAAAGTTTAAACCTTATTTATAAAAAGTTCTTAGTCTGCGTTTTTTATGTGGTTTTGCAACAAACAGTTAATTTAAATAGACATTAAATACACAAGTTTAGAGACTTGTATGTGTTAACATAAACCTAACAAGTTTAAAGATCTCATGTACTAAAAAATAATGTGTTTAACATACTGTAGTTATAACAAAAAGAATATTAAATTGTCGAATCAATATTTAAATTTTTTCGCTTCAGAGATATCTTACATTTGATAAATAGGCTACTATATATTTTAGTGAAGATGAAAAAGTTCCTACGGTATAGGTGATAAGTGCTGTATAAAATGTGTTACATGCAAAGTGATGTTTTTTGTATAATCTATACTAATATTATAAATGTGAAAGTTTGTGAGTATGGATGTATGGATGTCTGTTTCTTACTCTTTCACGGAACAACTACTGAATGGATTTTGATGAAACTTTACAATAATATAGCTCATACATTAGAATAACACATAGGCTTTTATCCCGAAAAAATTTACGATTCCCGTGGGATAGATTTGTTTTTGTTTCTCTAGAGGTGAACCTAAGCAAAGCAAGGGTGAGCCGCTAGTTGCATAGTATTGCAAATATTTATGGGAAGAACCTATCAGGAATCCCAAATTTTGATATTGTTCTTGGTGTAATATAAAGTGCTACAATTTCTTAACACAGAATAGAACTTGTATCTCAGGATAAAGAAACATAGTCACAGTAAATAAGTTGTATAAAAATTTGCTAAGAATACAGACATTACTGTGTATTTTTTTTTATGTAAATAAAGTTGCATTCTGCTTGCTATGAATATAAAAGTATAGTATAAAATTATTGGTTTCTAGAAGTTATATAACTAAATACAGATATTACAAGTGAAAAATAATCAATACTAATCTAAAAATTTAGATAGCATAAAATATGGAGTGCATAAACTTTAAGCGTGCTACTTCATCTATGTAATACAGTGCAACATTTACCTCTTCCTTGCTCAAAAACAACTGAAAAGAAAGGAAGCACAGTTAGACGATTAACTAGCTTCGGGCACACACTTTATACATATTTAGCATACTCTTACATTAATTTGTCATCTTTTTGAGTTCTCAATGAACTAGGTAATGTTAGTAAAATTTTTAATTTCTTTATATTTCATGTAATAAAAATGAATTTTCCATTGAAATCAATTGTAATTTCTAATATGTTTTTAGCATTTATATAATAGTGGGGGAATCCAAGAGAGGATTTTGGGATTGACTTAAGCACGGCATATTAATAATATAATAAGGGGCATATCCAAAAATTCCATTTTGGGCTCCCCTACAATACACACTTCATTGAACAACAGACACATATAAGACAGGCTACTTTAATAATAGCCAAAAAATTTAAGACCAGGCAAATTATTTTAATGGGTTAGTGCATAATCACATATTTTTCCACTATGTTACATCTAACAGCTGCAAAATACAGACACACAATATATCATGCACATTCATCCAACATTTAGTATTTATACACTAACAATATTTCAATTATACACAATTTAAAAATATCAATCTAAGAATTCAATATGAAGTAATATTTTTTGTATAAAGTATTTAAGCTGTTATATTGTTGCATTTCATCTTATTTTTTTATTTTGTTTGTAAGTTTTTTCAATATTAGAAAATGTTCATACAATTTTTTTTAAAGGGTTTAACCTAACTGATCTGTTAAAATAATTATTTTGACTGCCTAATATAGATATGTATATATTAATTATTTATATATAATATCTATAAATTCACTATTTTATATTTATCTAAAATTCTATCTTTTATTTATTTATTATTAATTCCTTACCTGCTTATGTTTAATTTTGGGGCTCTCTAAATAGGCTGCTTCTAATTTTGGATTGCTGGGAGCTTTTTTCGGTCTTGTGTTCTTAATTCCTAATGATTTTCCAAAAGGTGCAAACCAGTATCTAAAATAAAGTCATATTATATTTGTAATAAATAACATAACTACATAAATTATTCATATACATATAGACTTGCTAATGGAAGCAGGTCACTCCAGTATTTCTTTTAAGACTTTATGTAATATTTCATAATTGAAAAATTATAAAATAACAAAATTTAACAATTAAAATTATATTTATCACAATAATATAATGAATTTTCATAACAAAAACTGTTTTCATTTCCATATAATGCCTGACCATATTATATACACTTATTGTAACATGAAAGAAACAATGATACAGAATATATTAATAAGGATTGTTTTGATAAAGTTAACATAAGATCATCACACAATAGCTGTCCTTATAGATAGACTTTATAATAAATTCATTAATTATAATTAAATCGTTTTTTTTTTCAAACTTACTACTTTAACTCTGAATGTAAAAAAATATACAAAAAGGCAATGAAAAATTATTTCTAATTAATTATGAAGAGATAGCGGTTATCATTTTATATTAACTGATAAATTGAAGGTCACAGTGCGTTGCTATATAGGTGAAAATCGGCATAGTGACCTACATAAGCAAGAACTTTGAAAATATCTTTACTTACTTTTCTAACACATGCCGTAAAGCAATAAGCACGAAGGCTAATGGTATTGGAAATAAGAGGTGCCTGTAGTCAGCGTAAACCACTGCTTTGTCAGGACCAGGAGTAATATCTTCCCAAGTGGTGTTCGGAGGTAGCCAAACATCTTCATCCCAAAATTTATTTAACAACTCGCGCAACATCGTCTTCACTAAATTTATAGCACTTCACAATTTTATATTTTGTCACTAAAGACTACAGTATTATATATATAATTATTACTAAATAAATAAAAAAATCGCACCATAAATACACCCAATCAAAATCGAAGTCAAACGTAATGTCAAAGGCGGACACCGACTTCGACAGTCGGACAGAGATTCATAATATTTTGTATTTTTTTCAAAACGCGCGTTAATTATTATTAACCCTGGTGCATACATACGTTAATTAAAACCGATTCATTCGTTTAAGTCAAATATATAAAAATAATTATAGTTGTTTGTATATATTGCTATATTTATTTTTATAAGCACGTATTTAATTTTGAAAGATATTGCAAAATCATAAATCAATTCCAATAATAATCACGAAAAAATATTAAATGTAATATGACTAGAAGCGAATATTAAATAAGCTATTAAGAATTCATATGAAGAAAACACCTATGAGATTATTCCCTGTAATTTCATGCATACCTTGTTATTTTACTTCATTTTTAATGCACGTAAATCAATAATCGAATACTATGCTAATTAACGAATAATACAAACAAAGTGTAAATACGTATTGGATAATGATATTATAAATTTATTATATTGATAATATATATATATATATATATATATATATATATATATATATATATATATATATATTTCATTTAAAATGATATTCGTCGTCGTGTATTTAGTAATGGGAAAGATTTCTCGAAAGGAGGGCGCCACAAGTACGGCCTATTTACATTCAGTCTAAGATTAAGCTATCTATAGTGATAACTCTTTTATACCAGTTTTTTTTGCTTCTATTGTGTTTGCATCTTACCTATGCAATGTATTGTAGTTAGACCAGCTGAAGAAAGAATTGGGAAGGAGAGGTGCATCCTGCAGTGGTCCTGACTGACTGATTGATCAGCACACAGCCTAAACCACTGGTCGTAGAAACATGAAATTATGAGGACGTATTCCTTATATGATGTAGGCATCCGATAAGAAAGGATTTTTCTAAATTCATCCCCTAAGTATATATAATACATTCTTAATGTGAAATACACAGACAGAAACTTTAAGATAAAGAAATAAGATATAATATATTAATTTAATTTTTTTCTAAATTCATGGTATATAGGTAAAATGGGGTAATAAAGTTTATACAGGCAAAGAATTATTTATGATCACTTGAAACTTGGTATTATGATTACTTGAAACTTAATATTTATGATTACTTGAAACTTAATATTAATGCTCTTCAATACTATTAAATAAATACGTGTTTTAGCATATCTCGAAATTTAATCCGATAAGGAGGTAAAAGGGAGACGAAATTTTAAATGAAACTTTGTATGTAATGAATATGTATAAAAGTACAACAAAAAAACACCTGTAGACGATTTAAGAGTTTTAAAATCATATTCTGCAAAATAGTGTCAACATAGTCTTAAATATAAAGAATGTGATTTCGCCAATTTTGGTCGTCTCATTGCTTTAACCCACAATTTATTCTGATTTTGTCCTCTGGGAACAAATGATATCCATCCTGGCTCTGCATACTTTGTCATTTTCAATCAATTTTAAATTAAATGGAAAAACTCCATCCATGCTATAGAGCTTTACAATATACTGAGGGCCATAGTGATCGCGAGATCTGGCGGGAGAAAAAGGCAAAATTCTTTCTCATTAAATATAATATATCCACGAAACACTGTGTCGCCTTTGCTTTAAATTAATGCATTATTTAGAAACTATAGAATGATATCTTTCTTTTACAGCTTGGTAAATGGTAACATTATTGTGAATGTGTTTGTCAACGTCACTGTCATTAGCACATTTTTGCGGCCCTAAAAGTTAAAACTTTTTTTAATCAAGTTTATAAACAAATAATTTAGTATAAGATTTTTAATATACTGATATTAAACTATCCATTCATTCGAATACGTTAGTTTGCTTTGAAAATGTCAGCTTTAATAGTTACCTAAGTCAATAATGTTATTTTGTCCAACGTGTGCTAACATTTTGATGGTTGAAGAAGGCCCAGAGGCTGCATTACGATATGCTTGTAATACTTGTCCATATGTGTACAATATAAAGAAAAAAGTGTCATCACGGACATTTCCTAAGTTAAAGGTATAATTTGAATTGTCAATGATATTGCATTACATAGCGTCAGACGATCATACTGTTCAAATCATACTGTTCAAGTCACGTAACTTTTTTGTTAATTTATTGCTACAACACATTTTAAATTTTTTATCATTTATAATGTAATTTTAGGAACTTGATTATATTATGGGTGGTGCTGCTGCATGGGAAAATGTAGATTCAACTGATGCTGTGTGCCCTAAATGTGGTCACGGTAGAGCTTTCTTCATGCAACTTCAAACTCGCTCTGCTGATGAGCCTATGACAACTTTCTACAGATGCTGCAACCATAAATGTGCACATAACTGGCGTGATTAAATTTAAGAATATAAATTGGTTTTAAGTGATCTTAAATACTTTTATACTGATTATGAACTTATTTAGAAATCTTTATTGTAATAGTTATATAGTTTCCAAGAAAAGTATATCAACAAAAATGAAGGTTGAGAAAATGGCATCAATAATTTTATGTAAAGAAGAGAAATCATATTGCAAAGCTGTGGATTTCTTGTCAAATGGCTTTGTAATAGCTGTACCGACAGACACAATATATGGGTTGGCTTGTAGTGCTAATTGTCCAGAAGCAATAAAAAAATTGTATTCTATTAAAGGTAGGGACTCTGCTAAACCTGTTGCTATTTGTGTTAGTTATATATCAGATGTTAGAAAATGGGGTGAAGCATCACATTTATGTGATAACTTACTTCAGAATCTATTCCCTGGTCCTGTCACTGTAGTACTACAAAAAACTAAAAATTTAAATAATCCATATTTAAATCCTCATACCACAAAAATTGGTATACGTATACCAAATCATGAGTTTATTAATAAAATTACAAAAGTATTTAATAACCCTATAGCATTAACTAGTGCCAATTTCAGTAATGAACCTTCTACATTAAATATAAAGGAATTCAAACATCTATATGGTCATTTGGGTGCAGTATTTGATGGTGGAGTGCTCAGTCACGGATTAGATCATAACAGGACTGGTTCTACAGTTATTGATTTATCAGAAGTAGGGACTTATAATATAATAAGGAAAGGAATTTCATATGAAAAAATTATTGATATTCTACACTGTCATGGTTTAACTAGTATTGATAAGTAGTATTTTTGTTGTTTTCCTATTTAAGGAATAAATTCAAAAAATAAAAGTTTAATTGAATTTATATGGCCTTTTTATTGCAATTTAAAAAAAAATATAATGTATATATTATACTTCTATCTTTAACTTAGTAACTCATAATATGAAGTCAACAAAATAAAGGACTTAAATACAGAATTAAAATTCAGAATAGCTCACTCATTTATTCTATTTACATAAATTAAATATATTTACAAAAAATCTATAAAGATAAACTGAGAGGTTTTCTGTTCTCTGGTAGTTTGGCCTCCAAACTTTGCCACCTCTCTGGAGGCCAAACTATACAAACAGCTTTTGCATTGATCAAACCAACAGACACAGGTCCAAATGTGTTGCTATCCAGAGTATGGCCTGTGTGGTCACCCTCGACCCAACAGTGCCCTTCTGGAACTTTAACATACTGATTTTTATATCCGAGTGTACTCACAACATCACCTTCCAATGCTACAACACGTTTAATTATCTTTTGATTTGGATCTTTGGGCGAAATTAAAGAAATAATGTCTCCTCGATTTACTTGAAATTCTCTTACTGACCATCGTGAGAGAAAAACATAGTCAGTATTTTTTGACTCTGGATTGAGCACCGGCTGCATAGAAATGCCTTCAACTCTTGCGACATATCCCACAGAGTCCAAAAAGGTTACGCCAATTGGTACACCGAAAAGGACAGATCTAAGTAAACTCCGAAGCCGCATCAATAAGCCGGTATATGATTTAGGCAGCGGAATATTACCGACATAATCGGTTAATATTATTAATTCACAGCGATCATTTATGGAACATAATAGAAAAGTTATTTGCTATTTTTAGGGTAATTAACCGCGATTCGCGAAGTATCAGCGAATATTTGACAAATGACATTTACATTTTGATGGCTTGACTTTGACGCTTGGATTGGATGTAGCTTAATAAAAAAAATTCTATTAATTTTTCTAATGAGGTAATATTTTTATTATGGTAAAGAGAATAATTTATATTAGATATAAGAGATTAATTTGCGTATCATTGAGTTTAAATTTTATATTAAAAGCTTTAAAATAATGTTATTTTGTATGCTGTCACGTCACTCAACTTTTACGAATGAATGACCATAGATTATAGAATTTTGGATTCGGTCTTTATTACAAATACTCAAAAAAGTGTTGATGCTTTCTGTAGTAAATCACAACCACCACCAACCAAACAGAAATTTTAGACATTTTATTTGTGTGTATCAAGTATAGTATCAATTAAAATTAAGTTAATAAACTAAAGTTTCTATAAATTGTGACCGTAAAAACATTTAGAAAGGACTGTGTACAGATGGATGTGTTCCGTGGTCAAGAAAAACTTACAACCTGCATAATCAGCTGTCAGTGAGATAGATCATCTGTCCCTGTAAATATAAAAGCTAAAACGATAATAATACTATTTTGTTTCGTATGTGTAAATAATGAAGTGACCAATAATTTTAAGATGTGACCACCACGCTGCACTCGGCAAGCCCTGACTTGGAGACAGATATGGGATAATAACCTATCAAAAAGCGAGTCGTTCGCTATGGCAGGAGCCCCGTGAGGTCACGAGGAGGGTTTCTCTTTTGGAAGGTCAGTTAATGCCAAAACATGTCCGGCGACTTTCCTTTTGCGGCAAAAATAGTAAGCCCTCTTAAGTGCAATGAGAAGCCCTGGGATATATGGATTGATGAGATCGGACACCAGTCACCACGACGTGACGAAGATGCATCAGGTTTCACGTTACCGCCGGCTGTGGACGGTAAGAGCAGTGCGTCCGCCCGACGCTTGCAGGACTCTCATCCATACAAGGCGGCGGAAAGGACTAACACTCGGTACCGTCGAGCAGGTGTGAATCGTCTCCGGTACGACAGCATGAGCCTCCATGGACTTTTTCCACAAATGGACAATTTAAATGCCGCAGTGTGTCATATGTGTGGTGTTATAGTGAAGTGCAGTGCAGCATATAGACATTTGCTTGAGTCTCATACAGGTGCCGAGCCCATACTTCCGCCGCCTCCCCCTACTGTAAAGCTCAAATCTGTTCCAAGTAGAAGTCGACATAAAAAGGAACCTCCACCACCAGTCCCTATAGATATAAATCTACCGAAGTTGGAAAAGTCTCCTGTGCATACTGCTCCTGCCCCTGTCCCAAGGATAGTAATGCCTCAACAAGATATGCAGTACGTAGAGGAAGCAAGCACTTCTGCTCTCACAGAGGTTCAAGTCAGTGTAGAGAGTGGAGAGTTACCAGTAGTTAGTATACAGGACACAGAGGAATTACCCCTCGGTGAAAACATAACAGATGATATTTTTGAAATAATGACCTCAGAAGGCATACAAAGTGCAGATGACATCACAAATGCCGCAGACTGGAAGAACATAATTAGAGATATAGGTAATATGCAAGAAATTAATTTTTCATCTGCCACCGATAATGTACAATCACAAGACTTATACCCAGCAGTAGATACATCACTAACAGGTTACACGATACCTGACACTGACCTATCTAGTTTACAATTCGCTCCTAACACATCTCCTATGTTGTCGACTGTGATAGATAATAATGTACTCAATGCTCAAGCTTTAAAACCTGTTCCGACTACGCCGAAATCATCATCGCGTAAATCAAGTAAGACGAAATTTAATTTACGAGAATACGATCCGAACAAACACTGTGGAGTGGTGACCGCTGAGAATCCCAAACCTTGCACGAGATCTCTGACTTGTAAGGCGCACGCTCTGTCCTTGCGGCGGACAGTGGAAGGCCGATCTAAGCCGTTCGACACTCTACTGGCGGAGCATAGAGCATCGAGAGATGCCGCAGCCTCCGGGGGCACCCCTGCCCCAGTCGTGCACAACACACCAGCGCCCCCTCCTGCCACTCCTGTTAATCTCCCACCGCTCCTAGTCAATACGCCTCTAGACATCGCATTCAACGGTCTGACGGCTGAGCAGCAAGTTAACGACATATATGCGAGCCTGCTGAGCGTGGAGGATCCCGTCCTGCCCGACACCTCCAGCATCACATCACTTCTAAGTCAACCGTTGCCATCCGATCCCTTCATGCTCCCTGACGACGCGGAAATACCGGCAGACGTGCCACTGCTGAGTATAGCGCCGGCCCAGCCGACGCCGCTTATCCGTGACGAGAAGCCTGAAGGACCACCTACGCTCGTCCCCAGCGACGTGTGCTGGTACGGGTCCTGCCCGCGACCCCTTGCGCTCTGCACCTTCAACGCATCACACGCTGGAGGCGCCATAACTTTGGGGAAAAAGTTCGCGACTGTCCGGAGTAATATCAAATCGTCCCTGACGCGTTCGACCAAACCAGGCAGCGGGAACAGTTATTATCAGGGCATGTCGTTATCGAAGACTTTGCATATGAACAATGCTAATAAAACGAACAAGCCCGAAGTGCGTAAGTTAATAGTGACGTGTAGTGCGACGAGTGGGGGTGGGAAAGAGGTGCAACAGACGCTGAGTGAGTTGTTCGGGGGGGAGGTGCGGCATACGTTGAACGGACACGTGGGACATGCGGGGCACGTAGGGCATGTGGGGCACGCGGGGCACGTGGGCGAGCGCAAGGCGCGCGCGGGGCTCAAGAGCGCCAAGCGTGCGAGTACCGCCGCGCTGGACCTGGGCTTCGCGCTCGACCCACTCCTCGCAGACGAGAAGTGCTGAACAATAAGCAATCACCGGTTGTGTAGTCACATAATTGTATATTTATTTTTCTGTACAGAATCGAAGCGGACTCGCATTGTAAATGTTAATACGAATTTTGTCCCTGACGGAATTTAAACGTTACAATAATGTTAAAATCTCATTTTTTGTCGAGAAGCGAATTAATGTTTGTATTATTTTGTATATTATTTATAAGATTTTTTTAAATCGCCGACGTGAATGTCAGTCTGATGGAGAATTAATAGAATTATGCAGAATGGTTGTATTTTTTCGAATGACATAACATTGTTGATACTGAAATGTATTACTGCGAAATGGCCTAGGATTAATGTTTAATGTGATGAAAATTTCCATGTAAAAATATAAATACTATTAAACTAAGTCTATCCGTAATAGTAAATCGCCTCCTTTTGAAAATACCTCAATAACTAAATCAACGTGTTTTAATTTACTCAGACACCTCTAGAAACTGGTTTTTTATACGAATTATTCCCACTGTGGTGAAAGTCGCGGAAGCGATTCAGCTGAAGCAATATGGGTTGATATCAATTATTGTTTTTACATTAAATTATCATTTTTAATGAAAATTATCTTTTAGTTTATACAAAAATTGACTTTAGGAGCTCTCTTAGTTATTTTTACTTGATGAAAATGTGTGTCTTTTAATGAGCTTTTTACAATTAATTAACTACATCTGTTTCTCCATCGAGAAAGTGATTCAAGTCACAAAAATTTTAAATTTGTAACTCTGTTAATTTGCAAGCATTTTAGGTATGAATTAAAATCTGTTCCACTGAGGTTCCCATGTCAAAAAAATAAACAGGTTTAAAAGGTTGTCTAAAAGAATTCTAAATACCTACTGTATCGATTTTGATAAGTTTTTCTATTTTAAATAGAGTACGGAAAGATATTTATGTTTTAGGTTCTGTTTGAAAACATGCCAGGATAATCTATACTATATCTATACTTTAAATCTTGACTTATCTTTTTCCGTAGCATTTTTTTGTAAACAATAATAATAGATACTAGTATGTGATGTGACTTAAAAACAGGACTTTTATCTATACATATAATAAAATTCTAACGAAGCCAAATCTGTACATTAAATATTTTTTGGAAAATCTTATTGAAATAGTGTACATTATCGATACAGAGGCCAAATCTATAGTTTTTAGAATTTTCGTCTGTCTGTCTGTTACCGCATCACGAGAAAACCACTGGACAGATTTTGATAAATTTGGTATGACGATAGCTGGTCATCCGAGTCAACATATAGGATACTTTTTACCGCGGAAAAATATCTCATTTCTGAGAAAAAATACAAAAACTGCAATGTAAGAGTATACTAATATGTAAAACCTAAGAATTTGTTTTTTGGTCATCTGAACGCGGGCGGAGCCGCGGGCAATGCTAGTTGTTCTATAAATTTTTTTAGAGTTCCGTACTCCAAATCATTAGCACACGCTCTACGCCGTTTGTTTGTCTGTCTATCCTATCTTTAAACACCCTAATTGGTAGCAGGTTAAAAGATAGCTATCATGATATTCTTCATTATTGGTCAATAAATAGCACATATTTCGTGTAGGTATGGAACCTTTAACGAGAGTAGCTTGTTAATTAATAATAATAATTAATCGGGTAGCTTGTTAATTAATAAAATAATTAGTGTTATAAATGTGAAAGTTCGTGTATGTTTGTTCATCTGGATCTGCTGGTCGAGTTTGGATGTGTAGTGAAGTAACACACAGGCTACAGTCAGGCACCAAAATATGCATCCGAGTGAAGCACTGGGGTAAGTCACTACTTAAAAAGTTAAAATTACATACCTAAATAGTTTCGACCTCCTATATAATTTCTTGAATGGTCAAAGACAGCAGCCACCGTAAGCAAATGGCAATTTTCCTCCACTTCGTATAAAATATCAACGCTACAAATTATCAAATTACGATAAATATCTTGGATTTTGTAAAAATCGAATGTTAATCATGATATTAAGAAACTTAGTTTATTTTTAGCTTTAGATAATCCCTAGTGCTGCACCCGCGCTACTTTTCCATCCTACCTTTAAACTTTAAAGGGTATTCTTGTGAACCATATTAAGTAGCTGTTTAAAATAAGGAAATATGAACAGCACATTTTGGAAGATATATCAGGAGAAAAAAGAAAAAAATTGTATGGAAAAACCATAGGAATTATATGTTTTAAGAGTGCTCTTAGTTAACAAGTTATTACAATGATGGAAGTGTGATTATCTATACATATCTAAACATATAATAAAATTCTGAGTCGAATCTGTACACTGAATATTTCTTGAAATGAAACTGAAATTAATGTTGTTGAAATTCTTATTATTTTCGATACAGAGGTTGAATCTACAGTTTTTAATTTTTTTGTCTTTCTGTCTGTCTGTCTATGACCGCATCACGAGAAAACCACGGGACAGATTTTGATAAAATTTGGTATGATGATAGTTGGTTATCCGGGTCAACATATAGGATACTTTTTACTGCGGTAAAATATCTATCACTGAGAAATCTATGTTAACCGTTAAAACGTCCCTAAGGACGAAACCGAGCGGCGCCAGGGTGGGTCGCTAATAATATATAAACCACGTATAAATACTAAACATTAAATATTATAGACTGGCCAAGTGTGGGCCGAACTCATAGAAGAGGTTTTAACGACATCCATAATTAATATTATAAATGTGAAAGTGTGTTTGTTTGTTTGTTTTTCTTTCACGGAGTGACGTATTGGCGTGATTTTTTGTGTGGAGATAGTTGGAGGGCTTGAGAGTGACATAGGCTACTTTTTACCGCGGGAGATTATCTAATTCCCACGGGAAAACACATTATACCTAATACAATCCAAATATATATTTATGATCCGAATTACTTGAAACTTAATATTAAAGAACATTTTTCGATAGGATGTCACAGTAAACCGGAAATTGAAGAAAAATCATTTTTTAACGGTTTGCATCCCTCCATTTCTCGGGGGTAGCTGGACAGCGGGGGCATTTTACGGATTTTTGTTCCTTATATACCTGCTAACGTTTTAAAGCTATAAAACTTCGGGTTTTAATTATTTTTATCTCTTAAATATAAACGGATTTCCATCGGTCTAAAAGCATAAAGCAATTTTTCTTAGTAGCGGTTTACCCTCGCTTTTTACGTTATGAATAGATTATAAATAGTTATTGCGAGTGTACCTTAGAAGAAAACTTATGCTATTGCAGATTTTTTTACGCCTTTTTAAGACCTACAATTTTCTAGTACATTCTTTTGATGTATCTTTTAAGGTTTGCCAGCGTTAGCTATGTAAATTTGTAAGGACGACTCGATAGAACCCGTTATTATGTTTTCTCGTGGGAATAAAGTTTTTCCTGTAGTATACAACATCCTTAATGTTGACCCGAGTAATAAGATATCACTACACAAAATTTGGTTAAAATCGGTTCAGTACTGTTTGAGTGAAACACACAAACAGACTTACAGAGAAAAATTTTGTTTTGGGTTCTATATTCTGTACACTATATGTTACATGGTTAGGTACTCTTTGTTTTTAAAAAATATTTCATGTACAGATTTTGCTAAGTTTGTATGTATACCTAATAGTGAGAACCTGGGCGACCAAGCTTCGTTCGGCGTTTTTTTTTGTTTTTCAGAAAATATATAAAATTACATTTTTTTTAGAAAATACACCTACCTACATAAATAGATAAACTTAAAAAGCATAACCTTAGCATAATACAAAATTTGATCCAAATCGTTGGAGCCGTTTCTGAGGAGATACAGGAAATAAATTTAAATATATAAATAATTACACAAGAGTTGCTCATTTAAGACTAAAAACAGAAACTTCTGACCTTCAGCGTAGTAGGCCAATGCTTTAACCATTTACTCAGACGGCGGCGACGGCGAAATTACGAACCATATTGCACGGGCAAATCTTTTTGCGCGAAAATGCGGAGAAAATGAATTTTCCCAGATATGAGACCAAGCTAGATCGATTTTTCGCCCCCGTAAACCTCTACATATAGCAAATTTCATCGAAATCGTTACAGCTGTTTTCGAGAACGTGATTACAAATATACATACAAATACTGCTCGTTTAATAGTTTAAGATAATGTACTTCATGCACTTAAATCTCACTGAAATTTATTTACATCTCAAAATTATGAGTACAAGAGGTTCCTCACCTCACAGCCGTAGAGGCTGATGTCTAACATTACTAACAGTATATATAACTGTAATATCAACATCTTAAGAGAATAATACCTTTAGATGTTGAATCAAAGCAATCGAAATCAAAAGCATTTATAAATATTTTGATAGTAGACTTAAATGAGCTTTTATTATTATGATTAATTGCATGAGTAAAAAACATGTTCTTTATTGGGTTGAGCTTTTTTGTTGTGACATCATTAGTACGATACTTCATAATAAAATTATATTAATTCGTAGATTTTTATTCTTGTGATAAAAGTGTTGATGTTATTCATTCATTGATTTAAGATTCATAGGAAATATCTATACATAATATATAACGATTATAAATACCATGATACGCACTTTCGCCGCTATTCACAAAAATATAAGAAAATAAAGTTAAAAAATATGTAATTTGATATTGATAAAAAATAAGACTGCTATCTCGCATCTTTTCCTTGCGTTGGTTACGTCCCTAGGGACTCTATGTGTCTAATAGTACTTAGTAGTGTTACTTCAAGTGATACATTATCTGTGTAACATCCAAATCTGTCCAACCATTTTTGCGCTCCTCACAATTATAATAGACTAGCAGAAGCCGCGGCTTCGCTCGCTCTAAAACTGCAAAAAATCTCTAAAATGGTAGTTTCATACAATCTTTCATCCTATATTTTTTCCCCTCATAGGATGAGTTTCGAAAAATGGCGAAACATGTATTCATTTAATTTTATTGAAGAGCATTAAGAAAGTTTCTAAAAGGTCTAGTAAGAATTCACGACTTTTAT